CTCGGCTGCAAAATCACCAACTCTTGCTGATGCAATTCCAACTTATCAATGTCTTATCGAGTCACTAGATCTGGTGAGTTTCCTTTTAATTCATCGACCTTCCCAATTCAGCACACTGACATTTTGAACTATGTACATAGGCCTTGTCGACTGTCACCAATCCAGTCTTTTTAGCCGCAATCAATCCAATCAAGAAAAAGGTGATGGACTACTATCGAGCTGCTGCGCAAAAGCCTGTCTATCTTTGTGGCAATATCTTGGACCCTCGTAGCAAGCTGGCCGAGATCTCTGATCAGACCCTCGATCTAGCCCAAATCCCCAACAGGGCTGCACTCAAAGCCTTGTTTTTGAAGGAAGCGATCAAATTCCAATCGGATGATACAGATAGCAGTGATGGTACTTCAACCAAGCCAGAACCCGAGCGTCGAGCATTTGGAGCTCGACGGTTTGTAAATCGTGGATCGAAGCTCACGGTTGAAGAGGAAGTAGATACTTACCTCAACGGTCTCTGCGAACGCGAAGATCGCGAACCATTAGACTATTGGAAGTTGGAGCAGAAGAACCTCCCTACATTGGCTCGAATGGCTCGTGCTCACCTAGCTGTTCCCGCTACAAGTGTCTCTTCCAAACGAGTTTTCTCAGGAGGCAGTCGTCTATGGACTAAGTATTGGATGAGTATGAAGGCCTTCACTTGTGAGGCCCTGTTGTGTGTAAAAAGCTGGTTCAAGTTTGGTTTAGGACGCCGTTAAGCGACCCTTATGAAATGTACAACCTCTTGTTTTGCTTTTTTACCCTTATATTTACAAGATACAATGTATCCATCCATACCTATAACACCTCTTCTGTGCAGTTTTCCGAGTAAAATCATGTCAGCTCCTTGATTTTTAGTGCCTCAGCTTGGGCCCAAAAGCCCCGACAAAAGCCCAAGAGAGGGCTACTCTTGGGCCTCACCAGCTTTTAAGCCTGTCCGGGACGGGCTCGGGCCGGGCCTGCCGACGGGCGCCCCGGGGCCTCCGGGGCGCGGGTCGGAGCCTTAGTTAAGATCAATACCTTCAAAACCTTATTAACCAATTCAACTGCGTGCCATTCTGCAGGAGAAATGGTAACTCCCTTGAAAAAACAGGCCTTCCGGTCGGCTGCGAGCATTGAGTTGATAACCTAAAAGGCAAGATGTGGTCAGCGCTTATGGTTTATAATGATGTGATTATATGAAATTAAATTTGTACATACCTCATGGGCCTCACACGCCACCTTTCGACTCTGGTAGTGGCTATTCCACCGAGTCTTGCAAGGACGCATCAACATTCTACCTTCGTATCCCATACGAGCCGATTGAGCTTTAAAATCACTTCGCCTTGCTGCACTACTTGCAATTTGACCGCTCACAGTATCCACCTAGCACAAGGAACAGTATAGGAAACAAAAGGTTAGCTTGTATTATGGTACACTGAGAAGAATAGAAAGATGAAAGAGGGAGATCATTATGAAATATGTTACCTTGACAAGTGCAAGTGCAACGATATCATCTTTTTCACAAACAACCGGTTCTAAAATACCATCGTCTTCATCATCGACACCGTCAGGCTTTTCCGGTAAGCCGTCGCCTTCGTCTTCATCGGTTTCTGAATCGTCCATATCAATACCATCCTCACCATTGTTCACCTCGAGAGTCGGAATGGGCAGTGGAATGCCATCTGGGATTGCCGGCTTTGAACTAGTAATTGTCTGACCAAGGATTCGAAGGCCATGCCCAACTGTGAGATTCAGTTTATGGGCATAGCATCGCACATGGTGTGCTGAACTGTCCCAACTAACAGGATCGTCCGCATTCATAAACATATCTTGAATTTCTTTGGCCATAGGACCATTATTCCCTCCACTGTCAGTTGTCTGACCTAACATGTAATGACAGAAATAAAAAGGAACAATTAGCAAAGATAAAAGTTAAAAAAATTGTAAACAGAAAAAAAAACCTATCTTCTTATGAAGACCGTGGCGGACCAAAAATCGACCAATGGGTCGAGCTAAGAGAGCCCCAAAATGTCTCCAAGCTACCATCTTGAGAGTCAAGTGAGTTGACTTATAATTCCAATCGTCATCTATGTAATTGGCTGATGCACCTATGAAGGCGTATCGGTTCCCTTTGGTGGTCCAGACGTCGTGTATCAAAAAAAACTTTCCTTTGTTTGTCTGAAGATCAAGAATTATAAACACATATTGATCAATAGACAATTAGTTCAAGATACGAAAGTAGAGTAAAAAGCAAAAACTTACTTTTATGGTATCGATGGCCTTTTCGTGCAAACCTGAATAGAGTATTACTGACTGCTGAGCTGCCCACGTTCTAGATCGAACAAGAGCACCTCGGTTGATAGAGTGAAAAGCAGCTCGAAGAGCTGGGTCTTCAAATCGGGCCCAAGGAAGGGCGTGTCGGACAACCCACATGACTAAGATCATGTTGAGGAGGTCGACGGTGAAGGTGGGACCGCTGACAAAAGATGTTAAGGTACCTTTCTCGGTTTTTTTGCTTACCTCTTGCTTTTCATGATAAGAAGGTGGAAGAGTCATTCCGTCACGGATGGCCTTATGTCGCATTTTACAAACAGGTCGTGTCGCACTACCGTCGCGATGGCCTCGTAAATTGAAATAAGAGGTCCCTGTCTTGTCACCTTTGAATGGCTTCTTGCAATATCGACATTTGTAAATACGATCCTAGAAGAAATTGATGATGTTAGTAAATCAGAGACCGAGATGATGTGAATTGAAACACTTACAATCGGCTCATGAAAATACTTGAGAAGGTGCTTCACATCGACACTCCGAGACTCGTTGTAGCCGGGTTCGTTGTTAGACGAGACAAATTCAATAGAAGACTCTTGATCAACGTCCACTCCATCTGGGATCTCGAATACCTGGTGACAGTAAAGGAAAGGGGTCATTAATCTCATAAAAAATAAATACGTGAATCGGTTCAAGAATATTTTAAAAGATGTGAAACACATACTTCAACATCAGTCCGCTTCGATGATTGGGGTGACCCAACAGAAGAAGGTGCTGAAGCTCCAACATTACATCGCTTGGATGAACGGGGTGTCCTGCTGAGTCTGGATGAAGCAGGTGAAGGTGACCTGACACGCTTACTGGTGGATGATCGATTCTACAAATACAAAACCAATTGAGAATCTATCTCATGCATGATAGAGCAATCTGGACCTATTGACACTACACCAAATGTAATCTTTACCGGGCGGTAAAGAAAACTACTGACATAGAAAAGTGATAAGACTTACCTTTCCTTCTGGATTGGCCTTGGTCTTCTTAGACTTCGCCGTGGGAAGAGTTGAATCCTTGTGTTTTACAGCTGGTGGTCGAGGTGAAGCAAGTCGATTGGAAAGGGGACCAGGGCTTCCTTCGACAGGAGTTGACTGACGAGTGAGAGCGGTTCGAGAATCGTTGGGAGTGATCACAAAGCCAGGCTGGGAACGGGAAGGACTAGCTGGGCGAAGAGATCTAGTTGACGACCTCCCCGGGACTTGGAGGCTTTGGGAGGAGGTTTGCGAAACGACATTGGCAATAGCCATTCTAAATGTAAAAGAGATCAGGTAGTATAGTGATGAAGGTCAGTTCGAGTGCTTGCTATTTCTTTCGATGATCACAAAACTCTTACCTTACGATCTTCTCAGCAGTCGTTCGAATAAGGAAGCCGGACCCACAAGTGGGCCAGAGTTGAAGTTTTTTCCACTTCCAGGTGCCATGTTCTGGTGCTCGAAGGCCTGTCCAAACGCCGCAGTCCATCTTGGGCCAGGTTGGTATATGTATCGTGGTGTATTGTGGCGATGGAGGGTGGTGGAGGGAGGTCATGACGACGACGATGAGGAACCTGGGTGAAGGGTTTCACTCCGCTATATTTCGGAAATAGCGGAGTGAAAACGCAGTTTCGTTGCGGGTTTCCGGGTACCGGGGATTTTGAAACCGGGTTGCGGTGCTCTGGCCCCGCAATATATAGCGGTGCTATTGCGGGGCCAAAAAACACTACGCAACCGCACCGCAAACACAAAAATTTGCGCAGCGCTTGCGGTATTGCAGGCACGTCATCATTTGTCTACAAACAAGGCGCTGCAGCCATTTTCTCGCTGTGTGCACATGGACAGACATGGGCATGCACACTATCAAAATTCTGTCCCAATTCCATCACAGAATTTTGATTTTTTTTGAGCTTCAAAATTCCGTCCAAATTCTGTCACGGTATTTGTTATTTCGGCAATCAAAATTCTGGAAAAAGAAAATCAAAATTCCTCACGGAATTGCAAAATATGTTTGAAGTGTGAATTAAAAGTGACACGTTTCTGAGCGGCTCCAAAAGCCGTAATGACGTGGTGCGATTGACCCCCTGGTGTAGTCGTAGCGGTAGCCCTGCTACAGAATAAAGGGTTTCGTGGTGGTCAAGATATCCATCGTGGACGCACGCCGATATTCTAGCCGCATGTTTCGTACATGTGAAATAACGGATACACCAATTTGCAAATACATTTGCATTTACAAATTGGTGTATCCGTTTATCGGTGTATTCTCACGTGCATACCCGACTCACGAGCTCGGGTGTTTACCCGAGCTGAGGCAGGAACTCTCCAAGCATCCGTATGATAACGGATGTCGGAAAGTATCGCTCGCCTGAAGATGCAGTTAGTGTATCACATTCAGTTGCGCGGGCGCGAAGATTGAGTGACAAACTTGTGGTATTTCATGATAACAAAAGATTTACGAGCACATGACGGTACGATTGAGGAGATAAATGAACAATAAATTGTACTTTACTAGTTGTTAACGAAATGGGACTTGGTGGTTTGGTTGTGTTTTGTGAAATGGGGATATCTGATTAATGGTGACTTGAGTACGACTAGATGGAAAATGATGTGAATAGGGAAAGAGTGTATGAATTTTACCGTTTTGTAGCGCAGGTGGTGTCGAAAGGTGATCATATGATGGAATGTGCCTTAAATTCACCAACAGTTTTGTTTCTTCCGCTTACCCTTGTTATACAAGTCGCGGAGCATGCGATAAGACGCCGTTATGCTCTGTTCAACCGCGTGGAGCTCGGTGGCAGTGTGTAAACCCCGCAGCCTAGCCTTCTTGTCAGCCGTGTCGAAAGCGAGAATACCGTGTGCGGATTGGAACAAGTTCTTGATAGACAGGTCTTTTTTGAAGGCTTCTAACTCAGTATGACTTTGCGCCGGAGGAGCTGGCGTCTGAGTGAGGTGACCGGATGAGGGGCCAGGTTGAGCTGGCTCGACGGCGGAGTATGTTGCCTCACCGGGGGCCGGAGAACTGTGTATTCCATGCCATGAAGGGTAAGAAGAATGAGACGCTTCGTCGGTTACACAACTGGCGTCGGAAAATTAAACACGTAAGTTAGTGATGGTGCAGCAACGTTAAGGTTTTGATACTCACGGATAGGGATCTTTGCGATTGGCACTGTTGGGTAGATTGTTGCTCATCCTGAATGGCGACGGTACGTTGAGTCGCGTTGCGTCGGATGCCGAGGGAGTCGTGTGATTTGGTAAATTGCCACCGTTCTCCAAGGGGGGTTGGAAACCGCCGTATCCAAGTTGTACGCCAATTGAGGTGTGGTTTGGTGTCGGGGGTATGATTGATGGGTTGTACGAAGTCATAATTGGTTGGCCGGCTGGAGGGTGAGGTCGCTCGTGATCGCGCATGAGATTGGAAAGTTGGGAAAGTGTGCAGAACTCAGGCGATGCAGCAAAGTGTAGGCCTTTAGACTGTGCCGATTGCTGCGAAGCGGTGCGATGTGGTGACCTCATGATCACATCTCCGTGTTCGGAATTGTTGGTGTAGAGTGTGGGTTGCATTTGGTTGGAATTGTGATGGACTGTAGCATGCGGATTGACAGTGTTGAAAGGTTCGCCTAAAAACGGGAAGTTGGGTAAAGGGGGTGGGGCTGGCGGGAAATGCGTGGGTGGCCCTGATACCCCGGGCAAAGGAGCGGCATTTGTTGGTAAAGCTACGTTAATTGGGGGGTCCTTACATAAGTAGTAGGTGTAGCTGTAAGATGGTGATTGAGGAGGCGGATTACGGGGCAATTCAGGGGGTAAAGTACTTGCGAGCGACGAAAAGTTGGCCGGGGGAACTTGTGAGTGTTGGGGTAACGATGGGGGAGATGAATAGAATTTGTAATATGGGGTGGATTGCTGTTGAGGACCAGAGTGGGGTCCTCTTGATAAAGTTGGGAACGGTGCGGCAGGGTTGGTCATAACGAAAGGATTGGGAGGTGTAGAGTGTACATAGTATGGGTTGTGAGTAAGTTGGTGAGGATCACGGAAATTGGGTAGCGCTAGTCGAATTCGGGGAGGAGTTGGAAAATGGGAGGGACCAGGTGTTGGGTGCGGAGTTTGGATGCCGTGCATAGGAACCTGTACGTTGTGTTGGGAGGTGTTGGCGGAAGGGGCTCGCCACATTTGGCTGGGGGAGCCTTGAGTTTCGTAAACGGAGGTTGAAGATGCGGAATGGACAGAGTGTGACAATGTCGACACTTCCAGATGAGGAGAGACAGCTGATCCGAGTTCCTTGTCGGCTGGCTCAAGAGCTTGTTCCGGGTACATGGGAGATGTGCCGTCGTCAATTGAAGCCAGAGCTTCCTCGCGGATGCTGAGACCTTCCTGACGTGTTGAAACATACATATGTTTGCATGCGGAGTTGGTCCCGGCGAAATGGGGGCAAGTACAATTGTTCACGGACCCAACTCTGCCGTCGGCACAGGGTGTAGTGTTCAACTTGTAATGGATGCGGGGGCGAGTGAAGGACCCTATAGTATACTGAGACGGCGTAAGTTAGAAAAGGCCGACGAAAAGCGAGTGAAATAGGCTTACTTGGTTATTGCCCACCAGCGATATCATACAGAGGATATTGTCGAGGTCTTCATCGGTATACAAATCGGCAAGGCCTTTCGCGATGTTCTGGAATTTATTGCAGCGTTGTGCGCGGAACCCTAGTGTTGTAGTGAGTAGGATTTGACAATAGTCAGGTTCTACGTCTTCAGTTAAGATGTGAATCAGCTCGTCGGGTCGGCAAAGTTTAAGGCGATCTAGAAAATTGTGTTTGAGAACGTGGTGGTACAATTCATTATAATTATTGGTGTGAATTCCTTGAGTAGGTACGTCGCATTCAGATAGCATGCAGTAAGGTGCGTTCCAAACCCATTGTTTCTCGAAGTACTGGACGAAGGCGGGGTACATATGACTGTTGCGTCGCTTGAAGTCTTGCCAGGCATCCTTCCAGTGTTTGGCGTAAATCACGGACATTGCTTCCTGATGGAGCTGCATAGCAGGCACCTCCGGGGCCTAAAGGAAAGTATCAGCGAAGGTTGGACAACGGAGTTGCTCTGACTTACGCTTAGGCGTGCTCGGGCTTGGATGGCACAAGAAATGGGGTAGGTGCACCAATAGTGCTTAGGCAGTTTGCGTGAACCCGCGTAGGTAGCGGCGACGGCATTCTGGTAAGGAATGGCGCAGTCCGTCATGAAAGCCGTGGGTAAGACACCAAGATCGTCCTTGAGCCACGTGAGGAAGCGTGTAATGCTTTCGCTGGATGAAAGGGTGTCAGCAGCGGCAGTGGGTAAAGAAGATGGTGAGTACTGACGCTCTTTCGTCGGAACTAAGAAATCATGCGACGGGAACACCACTGCTGGTGACGGGGTTGCGTATAATGAGTGTAAGTAGCGTGAGTTTCACCGTTGGCCACTCGGGGATGTTGTTGCAGACATTGTGTGTTGAATCAAAGCAGATGACGCCTTTGCCGTGTAATAGTAACTGCTGTCTTTGCCAGGGGGATATGAGTCCGATTTGGATTCTTTTGTGACTGGGGCGTATGTCGTTGTGAACCGAGTAACCGCGGTCGGTTAGTCTTTGACACCACTTCATAAGAGAAGGGATGATACTGGGATCGAGACGTTGAATGTTTTTGGAGGCGTTACGGACTACGTTGCGAAAATCGGCGTAGGTAACTCGTAAGGCCTTGGGGATGACGGACAGGGTGCGATGTCACCGTGCCCGTTGGTAGGGCCCCCGGCGTCGGGGGCCTTCTGATTTGCCAATTTCTTTCAGCTTTGTTTCAACTTTGTTTCGAACTGCTCACAACGGCGTAGGCGCCAACAATTCTGAACATTAGCCGCTTGAACTTCCTAAAGACTGTGCCACTGTTTAGTTTCATCAGTGGTCAGTATTCCTCAGTTACTTATTGTACCTCAACATCCACATGTCCTCCCTTTCAAGATGATTGAGTTTTAATGAATCTTATCAAGAGTACCGCTATGCCAAGCAAAGACCGCACGAACACAGTGAACGATGTGGAAGATGGAGAATCCGTATGTTGGATCCTTGAGTTTGTTCGGTTTAGCTCATCTCTCATATTTCGATGAATATGTTCCAATTCAAGTTTGTTCCAATGTAAATGTACATTGTTTCCGAATGACAACTTGGAGATGTGGTGCACAATTCTTTGTCAAGAAAAAGAGCGTTCTAGCAGATCGGACGACAAACCTCGAGACCGTGATAGAGATAGTAGTCGCCAACATCTTGAGCGTAGTGAGACGGACAAGGATAAAGTATGTGATGTAACATCTGATACATCTCTACTCAACTATCTGTCTCATTTGCTTACCTGCAAACATCTTGTCACAGGGTAAAAGCGAACGGTCGGAGCGTCATGAGTGTGTCATAACCTTAGCATGTTTCATCAAGCTCTACTGAGAAACCGACTGGACGTTTCCTCTTGACCACTATTACTGCTCCCCAGATGCCCCATCAATTGATCTCCCGGTTGCCTTTTACTGAATCTCACTTTTCAATTTAATTATAAATCGTATGTTACCCTCTTGTCAGTGCTTGTGCTGTCAAATGAGCACGCTGCGGCCTGATTTTATTAATTGATATCTATAAAAACGTGCTCAAAGGCTTCAAATAGAGCATAAAGGGTCTGAATACATATAAAAGCGTTCCAATGGATTATAAAATCCACTTGTAAACTGTCGGATGAACATGCTACGGTCGATGTCGGATATCAATTGATATCATCAGTAGGCCCATATCTACGCACTCAATTGTCAGGCTGGGGAGAATGATCTTGGTGTTGAGATTGTTCAGTAATTTTCTGAGGTGTTGAGACAGTTCGGTAATTGCTTGGGAGGTGTCAAGACAGTTCAACACGTTCAGCAGCTACCCAGAATGGAGTTCTGCTGAGTGTTTTGTTGCGCTTATTCTTTGCAAAGATGAATAAAAATCTGAATTACCTACAATCACTTGAAGGGCCCCGACGCCGGGGGTCCTACCAACGGGCACGGTGTGTTCGTCCTGGCCATTCGAATAATGTCAATAAATGAGGCTGTGGGACTAGGGAAAAGGGATGTAACAAACGGGGAATAGGTCTGGACAACGCAGGAGGCGCTGAATAGTGCGCCAGGTGAGTCCTTCAAGGATGCGACCATTGAGCCAGGATTTAACTACCTGAGGCATATGCATGTTACACATGTCCTCAACAGAGAACGGGTTGTGGTTCTCATGTTTCCAATACCATTCAAACTCCATCTTGCCGGTTAATGTTTTCTTGAGGAGAAAGCGAGCTGGGCACTGGACTTTGATGGAGCCGGATGATTGGCGTGCAAGTTCGGTGAGAGTACTTTTCTTTTGAGTACAAGGATTGCCTGACGCATTGCAATTGTAGATCTCAGTCCAGAGGTGCATGCGTTTAGGACCTCTCTTATTGGAAGCGGGAGGTTTCGGCGCTTTGACTTCGCCAGAGGGTAAGTGCAGAGTCCCATTGAAGCGGCGGCCTTTAGTGACCCAACGTGAGGATGTGCACATAGCAAAGACGAGTTCATTTTCAATTCCGGCCTTCTTGGGTAAGGTGATACATAGTGGGTGTCTATCGCCGAAGTCAGGTGGGTTGCAAGACACATCTCTAACATAACGAAGAGAATTTGGATTGAAGTCGAAACCCGGTGTTGGTGGTGCAAGATAGGCCAAAGGCAGCGGCACAAAATCGTGAATGTCGGTGCAACGAGGGTACCAATCAAGACCACTCCGGATGGTACGGTTGTGACAAGTACGGGGGCGAGGTTGAAGTTTGAGGTAATCTCCAGCTGGCTTCGAACGGCTCGTAGCGCGAGGCTTGTGAGGCTGCATCGTCGTCGTGCGCTGTGCGTCGTAAGGCAAGTTGGGCCAGAGTCAGATTTCTCGGAGAAGTACAAGTTCCTCTGCTCGCTATCATTGACATACCCTGCCTTTTCATGCGTGAAAGCGGCCTTGGTGCCAATCTTTGCTCCATACGCGACCTTTGCAGGTAGGATACTTTTAAGCCTTGCATCCGTCGATGGCAATGATTGCCGCTGCCGCTTTTCCGTCATAATCAGTTACGCGGAGCGCAAGAAATCCTCGCGTGGATGGATTCCGCGAAAATGCGAGCTCGAATGAAAATTATTTGCACGCTATTAGCCAAACTTATGCCTTGCGCTATAGCTGAGGCCTGGTAATTGTCATAAGCGGACATTATCGCCACGCCTTTCCATTGCAAATTCATGCTCCGCCTTACGAAGACGTCCTTCGCCAATTGTTTAACTTTGGTCGTCGAAGCCGGAGGTCTCCGGCGTATGCGGTCCCGTTGGTTGAGATGTGAACCTTGATATTCATTAAATCGACATTTGGCTCAGTCATCATCTTTCTCCTTATGCAGGGAAGTCGTACTCACCGCCGTTTGCCTTTCACGCCTCGCGGCTCAGCGGATAGACAAGCTTTGCAAAAACAAATCACTTTTTGCGGCACACGCCCGGTATATAGCCCCGCTTCGCGGTGCTCGGGTCAATAGGAACCGCATCTTGCGCGGCGTCTATCCGGAGGCAATGAGTTCAAACTTTTCTCAGAATGACACCGTCTGACGGTCATGAACTCGTCAAGTTGTCAATTCAAATCATTTGAAAACAATTCGGCCCAAAACGATATTTACACCACAGAGGTGTCTTGGCCGGCTACAGGCGGCCATGTCAGGCCAGCCGCAGACCGCCAGCGCTTGCATAGGGGCAGGCCGTCTGCAGATGGCCCTCACGCAAGACGTCTGCCAGGCGCCTGCTGGCCTTGCCTGCAGGCCGCCTGGATTTCGCCTGCAGACCGGCTGTAATCCGGCTTTCAACGGCCAGCTGGCTTGATGGCCCGACACAATTGCCGTTTTTTTAGCCCTTTGACTCGCTTTCCCGGTCATTTGCAGGCATTCGGATGTTGGTCGGGTGGGCTCAGCTCAGCTCAGGGCACACAAATTTGACAAATCAAACACTTGATTTCACAGTCACAGTCCGTTATCTACAAGTCAGATACAACATTTCTAATACAAGCCTGATGAGAGAGGGGAGCTCCAGAACGCGAAAGAAAAGAACAAATTTTGAAGAAGAACCAATCCACAACAACATATTGTAATACTAATAATGTTGCATTAGTTTTGTCATTTCAAGATTAGTTTCGAAAACAATCATTTGAATGGATTGGCCATTCACTTCTGGCTTCTACGTTGCGGTATTTAAAGATTAATTTTTAATACTATCATAAAACCCACGATGATGAACACCGGAAAAGGCAGAGGAAACTACCCACAAGGTTGAGATGACAATCACTACTGCTATAGATAAAGGAGACTATGATGTTGAGGTAGGTGGGTTCTTGATGGGTGTTGATAAAAGGTGAGTAGTTGTCAATTGAGGCGATAAAATCAAGCCCACGGTAATGAAGCCAAAGCCACGGCTTCGTCCGGTTTTGCGGTCTTGCATGACTGAATCGACATACGAGAAGGGCAAGGACATGAGCAAGGTTCAGAGCTATGTAAGACACACATTCACTAGAAGAAGAAAGACAATAACTTACCGATTGAATCGACTGATAGCTGATGTTAGGAATGATAATAGCACCAATCAGCAAACACCCAATCACAGAAGAATAAGGTTTGACTTACCGACTTTGCCAAATTGATTCAAAGCCTGGGTGAGGCTGTTTGTGTCGGTATACCAGGCAACGCTACCAACAAAGAGCCTGTTACCAGCAGAAATGATATTTGAAGAGAAAGTTGACTACAGTCTACCAGGCTGAAGGTTGTGTTTGCCGTGCAATTTTGTGTGCCGATGGATCATGCGGAATGGAAGGATTGCCAGGGTCAACCGTTTGACTGTAGTGTGAAAGGAGTGACTGATCGATCTTTGTAAGCGTTCATGTAAAGGAAGCAAGAGAGGAAGAGCAGGCACTTAGTGAGATTGAAGGATGAATCCAAATGTTCTAGACCACGATGAGGTTGGATTGAGCTGTCTCCTTTTTGGAGTGGAAAAAGGACTTTGAAAGTTTTTCGTTTTCAAATAGGAGGTCAGGGATGATCGTGTGACATTTGACCAGACAGATCTCTCAAGTTGCGGACTTTGCAAAGTCCACAACTTGAGCACCGTTTGTGGCAGCCGACTGGAGGCGGTCTATTGGCCATTTTCAGGCTGACTTCCGGTCGGACTGAGCCGCATGAAGGATGCCCGGCAACTGGCCGCCTATCGATGGCCTGCAGGCCGCTCCTCAGTCTTAATTTTGGACAGATTTGCATGGCGAAGGTATGCCCAACTGCAGGCCGTCTATAGATGGCCTGCAGTCAGTCTTCAGGCCGTTTTCTGACCTGACCATTCTCAGACAGTGTCAGGCCAATTTCTGACAAAAGACCCTCCCGTGGTGTACACTACGGATCAAAAGATTTGTAATCGTGACATGTTTTCCATCACCTGTTTCCAGCATGTTGTCCCCATATGTTGAAAACATCCCCAGTAAAAATGTAACGTGAACATACGTGATTACGTTTCAAATATGTACGTTGTACATCAGGGAATCATCGTGGAAATGTTTTTCTTACATTATAAAACCTTGACTGAACATACACTCAGTTCAAAAAGGAGTCAATCCGATGGGGTTATTTTTTTGAAAAATTGGTTACTGCACCCGCCTGCACTTTGGGGAACTGGGCTCGTCACGAGTTTGGGCTCAAGAACTCATCAAGGTGAGATGGTGATGAGGATGCATTACATCTTTGCATGCAAGGGAAGTTAGTGTACATACAACTTGTGGAGATCACAAACGAGACAAGAAATGAACGGCAGCTTTTTATGAATCGGTGTATATAAAGGAGGCAGACTGAAAGGGTATCAATGAATGGAAGCTTGATTCGCTAGCAATTGCGACACGATTGATCGATTGATCCGATTCTAGGTGACTAAAAAATCAAAAGTTGAAGTGATACTTAGAACTTCTATGTATGAGGTCGAGCTGAAGCAGGAGACAAGGCTTATTGACCAAAAGCGAACCAAACGCTGCAAACGAGAGCGATGGAAATGATTGAGCAAGATGGGAAATGCGAAATGGGGGACATGTCAGCATCCAATATTTCATGACTTCATCGACTTAACACAGGTCTGAATATGTGGAGAATGGTGATGAAGAGAAAGAGAGGTCTTACCTGAAGTCGTATAGAAAGAAAAAGGAGTCAAAGAGTGAACAGATGTGAAAAGCAAGCTATGACTTTGCTAAAAGGTTAGTGATGCGAATTCAGCAAAGGTTTTCATGACTTGGTTTTTCAAAGTCAAGCCTCAGGTCTTGGTGCAGGCTTTTCAATCCGTTGGGGCAGTTTATGTTCTGGTGAGGTATTGAGATACCTCGAGAATATATGTTTTCAAATTATGATAAGAAATACATCAGCCTTACATATTTTCTACAAAAACACAAAATCCACATCACAATTACAAAACAGATTTGTCACTGCTAAGTAAGTCCCATGTTTCTCAAATGTCATTACTGGGGGTGTTTTGAATACATATTTGCCCTTAAAGTTTGGACCGTAGTGTACAATTCTATTCTCTGGCACATCCATAAAGAGATCTGCGTTAGTTCTTTTGAAGCATGCGGCTAGAATAGTTTCAGGCATCGTGGACCGTTTTGACTTGTATGTGGATATCAAACTAAGAAGTTTATATTACTATATATGAATCGCTAACATGACAGTATGACTTGTGGTTTGTGGCTAGCAATGGCATCACAGTCTCCAACTCACAATCGGGACCTGATCTTTACTCGAGTGTCATGGTTTGATATGGGCTCTTCCTCCATGAACTCATCAGGTGCGCGAGTTGGTGAGTGTTGCAATCGATTTAATGATATCCGTAGTAATGTTCGAAGGCCTTGACATTTGAATCTCTGACGAGGTCGGGAATTTGTCTAAGAGCCAAATCCTGAGCATCCTTGTGACTAATTGCTCCAGTACGTATCAATTCCCAGAATATTGGCAGGGCGATGAAATTTCCGAGCCGAGTCGAGTCAAGCCAATTTCACATACTTGCAGAAACCATAAACCGTTACGTCCAAGTGTAGTTTCACACGTCCCAAAATAGGATACGCAGCCCTCGAATCCGGTAATTACCAATTATCGTGACAACGGGCTATTGCTCTAATACAATCCCTCCATCTGGTCATGACCTTAACGCTTACATGACCCATTACAATATATCGACCGCCCATGAGCATGTTCCAAACGTCATGGATTTGTATCCTGATGCTCAATCTTTGCCCCAACAAACCTGCAAAACCTGAAAGGGCAAGGCAACCTATTGGAGCCAATCATAGTTCCCTTTCTATTTCCTATTTGGTACTGAAAACAGAGAAATATAATATAGCAAATGCGAAAAAATTCCATGTCGAAACCTTCTCCATGCCCTGCTGACCTGCTGAAAGCGTTAGAAACAAAGGAAGTTAAGTTTCCGTGCCCATTGCTTTTGAATATTAAGCCATTCAGTTCCCTCCCCAATGAATATTTTCACCGCGACCCATCTAAGATGGGTGGTATATAAGGTGGTATATCATTGTTCTTTACCGAAGAATTTAATTTCATCGTAACACTTCTGTTGAAATCATTAAAACATCCTTTACAACGCTGAACAGATCCACTTGACCATTTTACATTGCTAATAGTATTCGCCATCTACCACTATGCTACTTGTAGACCTCATCAAAAAACTGTCGCAGTCTTACCCCGAAACTCTCAGTACGCTAACTGTGAGCCACCTTACCAACTTCACAGTCTTGTCTGCCGAATTCATCAATCGGACAAATGGTGTATATGGGGAATCACCCCACGAAGCACCCATTGAGTTCCTCACTCACTGCCTTGATCCCGCTCAAGACATGGCCACGTGGGCTCGACTTTGGAATGTGTTATACTATCATCTCCCCAACTGTGCATACGACACCAACCTATTCGAAAAGAATGGCATACCTTTCATACATCGGCCCAAAGATGCCCTCATTATTCCACAGCGAACCATCAATCCGCCTACCAAACATTGCCTATCCTGCACCACGGAGGCCCATGGGGACCCAGTAACTCTTGATATTCGAACCCAAGTCTGTGGGTACTTGTTTGATATTGGTGGCATTGAATCGGTCCAATCTTTTTCTGGTTACTGTCGTAGTAAGTAACCATACTATTGAGCCATTCACGTCTTGTATTATGGCTGACAATCTACGATGGCGATCACCGGTTCGTAGAATGTAAGGTCACATACAGACCTTGTTATCTCCGTCGCGATGATGTCCGTGAATACTACACCTTAGAAGAAGGACATCCAAAAGATTTTTTTCAAGTAACTCGACACTACTTTATGACTCATAGACTCGCTGATCATCTGAACCACCTGCAAGCTATTGGTGTGTAAGTAATCTTTCATCATCTCACTTTGATGCAAGACGATACCATTTCACTATATTGACATTCACTATCCTTTTTTTCCAGAGTCAGTATATACAACCTTGTGATAATCTATAATCGAGCACATGCGACCATCAATAAATCTTACCCCCATGATTTTCGACAAGCTAGATACACACGTCAGATCAGTCACCATGTGATGTCTATAGGACTGGACCTGTTTCGATTGATGCGAACCTTTCACGCTCGCGGAGTGAGATTGTTGACTGATGCTAAAGGAGCCGATGATCGTAGGTATTATTGGGCCATGCATCAACATTTGATGTGGCTAGAGCTCGAAGGCTCAGCCTTTGCCAATCATGTTTGCTCGGTTTGCACTGCGATTGAACCTATCCCTGACTCAGAAGACGCCACAAGTAAGTTTACTTTCCATTTTACACAGTCGAACCTCCATTTTGTTCATCACTAAGTCCTCAAACCATTCAGTCATGCGTGCAGTAGTTACCGATGGCGTAACTATTGGCCACTACGCTTGCAGCGCGTCTGAGGCTCAACTTAAAGCCCTCAATCCTAACGGACCCAACTTTTGCGATGAACCTCTTGATCGGATTAACGATCGATTCTGCCCGTTACACAATTCTCTCCATCTAATGTGTTACGCCCAGCCCTGCTTACGCCCTGCGAGACCTGGCCACAAAACCTGCGAATTGGACGACCACGTCAAGGCATTCAAAGAGTTTAAAGGTCGCAACAAGTCACTCTTTGGTCTACCCAAGCGAATGAAGCGTCCCAACACTCATATTCAACTCGATCCCAGTACTATGTTGTCACCAGCGACTGGCGAGGTCACACTTACAGAAGATGATCTCATGTATGGTGAAGTTGAAGAACGCGAGCATGAGTCTGCTCGAGACGGAGGTGAATCAAAAAAAATCAAGAAACCTTTGTTCAGCCGCCTTCGTACGCACAATGAGCAGTTAATGGTTGCACCTTGCGGGGTCATTCTTGCTCGTAAGACTTTCTATAAATCCGAATCGCTCCCTAAAGTTAAGGTAAGTTAATTGCCAAATACATATACCAGTGCTACTTACTATACTAAAAGCAATCCTATACTATCAATAGGAATTTATTTACGAGACGTTCCCCAACCAAATGCCACAAGTCATATTCTATGACAATGCTTGTGGTTTGTATTCACACGTACAAAACAGCGAAGAGGATCGACAGAGGTTTGCACGCACACTGTTGCCAGTCGATGCCTTTCACATCAAATCACACAAAATAACTCATACCGCCTGCCGTGAGAACAATGATCCAAACCTTTTTCCGGAACTCAAGGTAATCATATCCCCCGATGGGAAGTGGAAATGGAGATTTAATTCTTCTGCTGCCGAGATTGTTAACGCTTGGTTTGGCCGTTTTGACCCCATGTGTCGCGGAATGCATCAGATCAAGTACGCCTTTGTATTAGAAGAGTTTATAAGGGTTCACAACGAACGCCTAGTAGAAACATTAGGTAAACGACCCGATGTCCAGTTTTGTCTCAACATCGAATATACATCCATCCCTATGTAGCATGGGTATTCGAACTCTTCAGTGAAGGTAATCACACAAATCAAAACTTGTATTCATCAATTTGTCACTTGTCTCTTGCTCAAGACCTTATTATTTTGGTATACTCTCATTAATACTGTTTTCTACCGTTCCAATTAACCAAAATGAAGTCGAGTTTTGTTATTGATACACTCATTAGTATTGGAATTGTGGTCATACTTAAGTTATTACTATGATCGATCAACCTATGTGTTTTTTTAACTTGCTCTGCAATCAATCATTTTGATTGTTAATTTCTATATATGCTACGACTTTATGATTGGTCTATCACATTCACTAACATTGCTTGATCTCAAATATTAAGGACAAATGATGCACAAAAGATGACCAATTAACATGATGTGTCGAAAAACTAACAACCCAAATATGATCTTGCTGAGAAAATGACTCCACTCATCCATCTCGCAGAATCGAGGCATCCGAGGCATTGAGTAGGTGACAGATGCTGTTACACTGATGGTCCCAACCGAAGTGGAAAAACGCCATTTCAACGGTGTTGTCCACTGCCTTGTCACTTCATTAGTAGAGGAGCAAAGGAATGGACACAACAAATCAGATGATCGAAAAGAACTTCAATGAAAGATTGAATATTCACCTTTTGTTAAAGCAAAGTAAGTTGGAAATTGTTCCTTCGATGTCACAGTCAATTTGGCTGATCAGCGTTTTGGCAAGACTGGCATTGTATGCGTAATGAATAAATGCATGGATGAAGTCTTTCCATAAATCAGAAGCCGGCGCTTGCATACTGAACTTATATTCATACACATAGCGCTCATTGCAAGCGTCAGTTGCCCTCCCACAGAAGTACCAACCGGGTTCGCCTTCACGTACCGGGCCAATGCTTTGCAAAAGCTTGGCCTCTTGAACCTGATTTCATAGATGTAATCAGTCTTGGTTGGAATGAAACAAAAGATGAGCAAGGTTAATGAGAAATACCTTTAGACCTCTTGCTTTGGAATACAAGTCTCCTAAATTATCGGTGTCATCACTCTCACCTTCAAGATGAAATAGCCACAAATCTCGAAGCTCATCTTGGAACAATTGCAACGCGTGAGTTACAAATAAATTGGCTTGGGCCATGCTGAGTGCTTGTGAGCGGCCGGACGTCTTACTTATGTACCAATTGTGATGATATTTGGCCGTGAGGGACTTTGGTACGTTACCAACTTCCAAATCAACAATCCTTGCCACCCATTGATGATCTCTTTGAACCACGCTCACTGCGGCTCCAAACTTATATACAACAAGGTCACTATAGTAGCCAGTAAAGTCCTGTGGATCATAGATCGGTGGCTTGACACCTCGCACAACACTTGGCAGGGAGTAGATGAAGCCCGCCTGCGCCTTCAAAAGGTCTTCCCTCAGGAAGTTTTTGTCACTATCTGGCAACGACAGATAGATAGGGAATCGAGTATTGTTAGTCCATTGTAATATGAATCCTGACGTAACAAATACTGACTCAACTTTGTTTGGTGTGATCGGTGTGATCGGTGTGATCGGACCTATCGGAGTGATCGGCGCTCTTTCCACGAATAGTTTTTTCTCGACCATCGGTTTGCTCTATAAATGATATTAAAGAATTATAACGATGTATCAATGTCAGTAATTGGTAGTACAGTGAAAAATATATCTCTCTAGTAAGTAGACCATGAAAATACTCAACTTTCTGGTTCTAACAGGTGACATATCTTCATCTTACCTTTGATCGTTGATGTGGGACTGGGAGCAGATGACACGACTGATGACTCGCTGACATGATCAATGTCATCATCCACATCGTGTTTGCCAATTAATGGCCCACCAACAGGTCGTGCAAGGGATTCATGTTCCTCATCTACTGTTTCTGATACATGGGTAATGTCAGTGAATCCGGTATGGTCACTAATTGAAGTAGGTGGAGTTGATGGTTGAGTTTTCTTCGATGATCGAGTGCGAGAGGGCATAGTAGCGAGATCTTTTTCCAAATAACTAATCAAGAGTGAATCCTGAATCAAACATGTTGGAGTTGATTAGCAATCATTTTATGATTCACACAAGTCGAAAAGCACACAAAGATAGGGAAATAAACTAGCCTCAATGTTGACACAAGGTAATTGATAGAATTAACGTAAGGTAATGATCAGCGCACAGTATGGCACTGTATATGAGCACTGAATTCTTCTTAGACACACTTGACATAGGAGTATGACTATTGAACTAAACTTCAAATTGGAGCACAGCACCCTTGCTTGCTCGGGTCTATCTTTCTCAAATATGGGTTTAGTGATTTGCAAACATAAGCGTACAAGTGGGATTGTCTGCTTTATGCTTGTAGTTTTGAAGGTTACTGGATTGATTTAATGATTCAGTAGGTATGATTAGTGCGTCCTCCACGATCGGCGTGATCTAGACAAACATACATAACGAAGATGGAATAATTGATGATATTGAAGAATAACGCTAGCGTCAAACAAGCGAAGTTAGTGGTTGACTTGTAGTTTGTAGATATATCAGGTAACAGCACCAAGGATGATTGATGATATCGGGTAGGTGGATATCTTTATCTGTGAAGATTACTACCTCCAATCTTTGCCGACATCAAAGCAACATCCATGACTCACCCTTGGAATCTCTAATGGCAATTTCAAATGTTCATTAATTATTGTACAGCGGGATTTTTTTTTGCATTGCATAGGTTTTGCGCGAGCGAGCTACAGTAATTAGGGAGTATGATGAGAAAAGACATTAAGTGGAAAAACAATTATTTCATGTAATATGTACATTGAATGGTATGTACATTGAAAGGAGATAACGGAAATTGAAGTTTCAGAAATAGAAATAGATAAATGAATCTGTGAATCACTTGTGTAACTTGACACGTTTTGTAGGACGAGGTGTATATTCTTCTGCATTGACATTCTGGGTTTTGTGTGAATCCTTCCATTCCGATTTAAAGTGTTGTTTGCCTTCTTTGACGGTATGATCGGGGTTATCAATTGTGTAAGGGATCAATCTGGCTTCAGTGATTTCATCAAGCCATCGCCCGTAGGTAGACACTGTTGAACGCGCATATATATATGGTGTGCCAAATACCCTCTTCCATGCGTCTTTATAAGAGTATTTCTTTTTTTCATGCATAAATCTCAACATGTCCGACATCAATACTCCAGTAGGCCATTTCTCAGTTTCACACGTGTTGGAAGTCGAAGGCTGGGGATGATTTGTTGATCCAGAGGGGCGAGGAGCCGGAGTAGGACTGGATCTGGGTGATTGGGTACGTTCATCACGAGCTATGATTTGATCGGAATCATTGTTTTGATTGGACTCGTCTTCACTTGAATCGTCACTGATTACGTGGAGGTTTTTTAGGTTGATTTGATCAGTTGGATCAGCTGGTCGAGGCACCGGCTCCCTTGGTGAAAGATCTCGTGAAAGGAATCTTCGGATGTCCATGACACCTTTGGACACCTTTTTGACTGGTAGTAAATGTGAATCCATATCTTTACATTCAAACTCGTCGAGTCCGGGGAACATGACAAGGAGTCTGTTACCGTCAAGCGAGGGAGAGCCAACTGAGTAGGATTCGACCATGGACATCCGCATGTCAACCTGCAGATAAGTAAAAAGACAAGTGTCGGTTAAGTTGAAGATGCAATATGTAGGATAAAGTTGACTCACCCAAGTCTGTATGTCGACGTGCCAAACTCGTAAATTCCCATTCCAGTCCTCACCGAGCTTGTCTTGAACCAGAGCCTTGAGATCTTCAGACTCTTCAAGTGCAAATGTGGGCCATTCAGGTACGTATATCCTAAACACACGACAAACCTGTTTGTTCAAGTAAAAATAAGTAAGCTCATACATCCATGCGTATATTCAAAGGGCCAAGTGACACATACATCAACTTCAGGCCAAACGACCATTGTGATGTTGTTGCTAGCAGACTTTAGGTGTTCTTCTTTTTTTCGTTCGTTCGCTTGCTTCTTGATTGAGGTGGAGCGAAAGTTTCTAAATTCCGAAGCCGGGAGTCGTTCAATGAATGTGTGGCTAGCCTGTGTCTGGGCACTTGGTGTGATGAGAGGATTGTCGTCGCGAGCCTGCGTCGCTTGATGAGTTTGGGAGTTGGCCGCATTCGTGGTGGTGCTCGCTTCCTTGTTTTTTGTCTTACGTTGGTTTGTGTGTACAGAACACCCTACAGACTTTTTGTTGAGGTGGTAGCAGCACTATAAAATCATACCAGCATATATAAGTGTCAGAAGGATATGGCTACATTTATAATGACGGGTTTGACCTCTGAACATGCATTTACGCTGCAGTGCGTGTTCCTTTGCAGCTTATGACCTTGCGCAGTTTGCCCGTTGACACCTTCACATGGGTGATAGTTCTTGCCTCGCAATGGTTTGGTAGACTGAGTCGCCTGTTGTGTCACCGGTGGCGATGGCAATTGATTATTGTTCATTATCCTTGAAAAGTCCATAGGCAGATACGCGGATAACGATAGAGCGGAGTTGATTTCAATAATTTCGGAGTGAAATTTTTCTCGATGATACGTTCGAACGTAGCCTTTATCGTACTGGCACTGTGTGTTCATGATTAGTCAGTTACACAGTTGAGCAAAGCTTTATCTGTCCTTACCTTAATTCCAACTTTGGGATTTCGATGTGGCTGAGGAATATAATAAACAGTAGAATGGGGACGTCTTTTCTCGCAATTCTCGTTGAGGCAAACGAGTCCTGTCTTGTGGTCTTTGATTGGGGGGAAAGGTAAAGGTTGAAGGGGTTGAAGGGGTACAAGTTGATATTTTTTGGCAGCTTTCTTTGTAGGGCGAGTATTATTAGCAGGCATTTCTGTTAACTCAAAGCACGAGATGAATATGAAGGTAACTTGATGACCTTGCATCGTCCCGTGCAATGTCTCCGTTCTTGATAAATGTAAAGTTGGGTGGGAATTCTACAACGAATGATCTGATCAATTGGGCGGGGGAATGATTGTCGTTGATGATCAAGTGTTTGACATTCCCAAAGTGTCAAATCTTAATAATGAAATGTATAGCTGCGTCTGATGGGATACTGGCCCGATTCCAGCTCGGTTTGGCTTGCCCGACTTGGCTCGAAAATTTCATCGTCCTTCGCATGTTCTCTCAATTCCAACACCAGGGTCCCTCGGGCCGCTTTGACTTTGAGGTCCATCTCACGCCACTTGAGGTTCAACTCATCCTGCATGATATGATGCTTCAGCTCAGCTTCCTTAATGGGCTTCATAGGCATCTTGTATATGGGATCCAAAGAGAGTTTATCAACTACATATTTAGAATGTAACGGCTCATGCCATTGCAGTCAAAGGTTTGCTCGACATACCTTGGCTCCCAAGTTTCGAGATGGCTAAAAGTTAACTTGAAGACGAGACTGTCGAAGATGAGATGTGCGTGTTCAATGGTTTTTGCTGTTATCGCAGGAGATAGAGTAAGCTTTATGTTATCTCGTTTCAGGTCAGCGGTCACGGATGATAAGCAATATTGGAAAAGAAGTGTTCTAACCTGTTATCGCGTAAGTTCTCCTTTTCTTAATTCGGATTGGTTACGATGCTGGTTGATGAGTCATCAAATATTCCGTTCGGAGAGCAACTAAACTCACGGTTTTGGCTAATTGGGAGATCCAGCCATATGACATGATCTTATGGCTTCACATTTGGACTCTATAATCGCATGCTTTCATGCGATAATGCAGGATCCACATCATGCGCCATTACACAGGCTGTATATGTACATGCATATATGGCTTACTTCGAGTCATCCCATGAGTATACTACGGCTTCTGCAGAGGCCAGAGGGGGTTTTGCACACGAAATCAGGACTGGACGCCGAAAAGATCTGTAATGAGCTGGAGGGGGCAAGAATGCCAAAATATTTCGTTTTGCGCGTGCCCAGTCCGCTGATCGCGTGCGCTGCCGTGCTGAGAGAAAACCCGGCATCTGTTCCTGACTTTCTTT